GCTTTTTGACAAATGAAATTCCATCTGTACTCATTACAATCTGTGGGGAAATTGTCCCCGATGTCAGTTGAACAAGCAGTCACGAAATACAGTATACTCTTTGTTTAGCATTTTCAAATTCAGGATAAAATGCACACATTTCACATCCACAGCTACTCGCTCATAAAATTGGGCCGTGAAGATTTTTTTTCCCTTTTGCTTTTGTGCCTCTTCTCAGCTGCATTAACCTAGGGAATTCTGGGTCATTTACCATTCTGTCTGTGGTGAGAACCACAGTTCACCCTTTTGTACAGTATACTGCGGATTGGGGGACATGGGGCTGAAACAGCCAGGATCTTTTGAAACGCTACGACGACACGGAACCCAACACCTTTCTCGCATCTTATGAAAATCTCACACCACCAGCTTTACCAAGTACCCCTGCTCTGAGCTAAGGGGTGCGAGTACATTACAGATTCTAGACACTGCAATTATAAAAGTCAGTATGCAGAGCTGGGGAAAACGACTGCATAGCTTTGAGCCAGAGGGCCGAGACAGCTCTCTGTCCGTGGCTGTTCAAGTAAAGTATCCCATTTCAGTCTTGACTGTCGTTATTAGGGAGTTCTGTCAGCTTGGCGGAGTTAACAACGTGACTGGCATCTCCCCGGTGGCAAAGCCTGTCAATCTTTTTCACACTTGCTCAGCACTCAGCCCCGCAATTCATTGACTCTTCACACGGCGGGGCGGAGATGCTCACAGCTGTGCAGGTGCCTGTGGGAGGGGCAGTAAATCAGACTACTGCCCGGAGCCCTTTGTAGGACATCAGAGAAGCCGGCGTCTCAAAAACTATAAACATATCTCATCTCCCTCACGTGTTTGATTCGGTTTCATCTTTCAACAGCGGAAAAAAAATATTTTGGTCGCAAGCGCTTCGGTGCTGTGCGGATACGAGGCTGCGTGTGACAGGAGGGAGGGATTCGGAGTTCATATCCCCCTGCGCGAAAACGCAAGCAAATGAGATAAAATCCAGAAGAAGATGTATGCGTTTTAATGTAGGTGACAAATATTTTCGAGATACTCCTTCCTAAAAAACTATAAAAACTTTATACTGTCGGATTAAAAAACGATTATTACATACAGTACTTTTAAGCACAGGTCATGTTTTCTCTTGAAAATAATTGCCTTGTCAGTTACTAATTTTGTTTATAAGTGATTGTTTTCTATACATCTCTCCTCCGCTGCCCTACTTTATTGAAATATGTTGGATAACCACGCAATACGTGTTAATACGCCCATTTTTCACCAAAAACCGTCTTTAGAAGACCCGATCGATTGTCAGGAAGTAAAGAGTTAAACCCAGGACTTGTGGGCGCGTTATTGATCAGGTTTCATTCTGCCATGTGTCAATCATGGTCCATTCGGGACAACCGTCTTAGCGAGAAAAGGAGCCTTTTTGGAAGGTGTTGAACCCAGATAATACAGGCTTATACGCTGACATTGATGTGTCCTGCGGTTATGCGCCAGTATATATTGATGGCACCGAACAAGGTGCTCTGTTTCAGGCCTATCCCGCTAGCGAAAGAAAGAGAAAGGCAAGGTTTATAACATGCTTTGCAGCCTGAAGCCACGGCAGGTACTTATGCACAGCTCCAGCTCCTGTCCGGATCGGATGACTAAGCTATATTCTCTTTGCCCCGCCGCGCAGAGAACGCGACGAGCCCCGGGCTCTGCAGGATTTCCCCCCGCACAAGAACTTGAGCGCCAAGTGCTCCGCTCCAGGATAGTCTGAGAAACGAGCACCTTACCGCGGTTCGCCGCATCCTCGGCATGCCTCGGTGCGGGTTCGCCTCCGCCATCGCAGAGGGTGGTTTCGGGCTTTTGAGGAGGGCGACTTGGGAATGATGTCCTCCCCCCTGCTCTCCCAGCCTCCCCGGTGCCGCCGGTGCCGCGGTGTGACTGCGCTCCGGGACTGGGAGCCGGGGAAGCGGGCAGCCGCAAAGTCGGCGATGCAGCTGCCGCGAGGAGGGTGGCAGCACTGCAGACGCGTCAGCAGGCTCGCGCTCGATTCGATTTTTTTTATTTGTTGAAGTGGCCGCACTAACATCACTGCCCCCACCCACCCACCCCCAAAACACACCGGCACCTCGGTACAGGACACGCTTCTGCAGCTCTGCCGTTGGTAAAACCGCCTTTGGTAACACGGGCAGTTGTGCCGTTTGCACTGGCCTCCTTTTTCCACAAGCTGCAGTTTCAAAGGCAAAATAAATAATTCTGCAGATGTTTCTCTCTCTAGAAAAAAAAAACAACTCTAAAGCACGCTCTTCTTCATGGAATTTTAGATAGTAGTTTTAGAGAAATACTTCAACCACGTTTCATATACCTCACCGGTAAAATATTCTTACTGCATTCAGGCATTAGCGGATAGAAATTAAAAATACGCACAAGACGACTTAATTGAATAAGATGATCCTGAAAGCGTAAAATAGTGTCAAGTGGGTTAGTCTGAAATGTATGAATTTGAAAAATCTTAAATCCATAATTACTCTAAATATTTTTAAATTCACCAATGATGTTAGCGAAGCAGGTGTAATGAGGGGTTTCAAAGCTGAAGGTTCGCATTTTTTATGGGGTGATTGTTTCCCTGTTACTCGCTGCAGTTATTTAATTGCCAACGATAATTTGGAGTCGATCGGGTCTGGGGAACAGGAGTCACCCGGCCGGCTCCCGCTCTGTCCACCAGCCGCTGGCCTGACCTTAGGCCATCTGGACTCTGACGCCACGACTCCAGGACACAGGGTCGGCAAAATTACTCCCCAGTGCCAGCGGCTGACTGGTTTTAAAAAATCACTTTATCAGCCATACATTTCTTGCATTAGGAATTCGTCTTTTCGCAGATCCCAGCTTGCTCTCCATGAGACACACATACAGGGAGAGAAGCCTGGGGTTAGAGCGCTGGGTCAGCCATTTATGTGTGAACACGGCGCCCCTGGAGCAGTTGGGGTCTTGTTCAGGGGCCCAACGGAGTAGGATTCCTCTGCCGGCCGCGGGACTTGAACCGGCAACCTTCCAGCCACAGGCGCGGGTCCTGAGCCACAGAGCCACCGCTCCGCCCGGGTCCACGGTTTGATTGAGACTGCACTACCTGTACGTCACGTGATTCACAAACCAAGTTCCCTTGACATTTGATTATTATCTCTCGTGAATGTGCAAACAATCAAAATAAATCTGTAACACCCCGAGTGTCATATCTGGAGATGCTATATTATCGTTATAAACTCCAGTATCCTTCCATATCCTTCGGATTAGTTAGCAGTAACGTGTAGCACTCGTTAGACCTCTGACTGGCGCGCTGATACGCTTTGGCTCTCTTTAACAAGTATATTTACTGGTGTCTTTCGGGGGCAGGGCTCCAGGACACGGACACACAAGAGTTGAATTGACTCACCGCAATCCTCGCCAGAGCTGTCTTAATAGACATCCAGGTGTCCAATCTGCGGTCCAGAATAATGATAAATTTCACTCCAGGCTGGCGCTTTCTGGAGACAACGTGAAATGAAATAGAGATTTATTTGAAGAGACTCACATAAAAAACTTTAAAATGACAGGAATATTCACACATCAATGCTACACGTTTAAATATATATACTGTATATAAAATGCGTTTTTCTCATTCTAAAATTTAAGGGCAAAAAGGTGTAACAGTGTTTGAATGCTTTGCTTTCAACGGGGCACAGAGGATAAAAGGGTTAACTGGATGAACTGCAGTATATGAACTGTGCAGACTTCCACTGTCCCTGTTACGTTCCACATCCCTCCTCTAGAGGGCGCCCCTACCCTTTTCTGTTATGATGAGGTTCTATTATCTCCCCGTGTGTCTTATTCTGACCTGACTGCTGGTCCTTACAACTGTCTGAGCAGTTCAATGCACATATTTTCCTTGTGACAGTCAGAATAATAGTGAACTCTAGCCCGCTGAACAGACTAGCACCTCCTCAGGGTAGCTGAGAACGCATTGTACTGCATCTCTCTGAGTGTTTCTCCCCATGAATGCCTGCACTTTACTGGCACTGAGCTGCCCTAAGCACACAGGCCACTCAGTGCAATACACCTGAGAACACTGCCAGGGCAATGAGCCCAGGTGTGTGTGTGTGTGTGTGTGTGTGTGTGTGTGTGTGTGTGTGTGTGTGTGTGTGTGTGTGTGTGTGTGCAGGTGCGTGCGTGTGTGTGTGTTGGGGGGGGGGTTAATTGAACCTCGTTAGCTCCCTCAAAGAACCTGGTGGAGTTCCATCAGGACTCTGCAGTGCGGTCTGCAGGGATGCTACAAAGTCGGAGAAGGAGGGGTCCGTACCGTGGGGTCAGAGTGAGGTACATCAGAACTTTGGCCAGGGCCTCCTCAGGAATCTCACTGAAAGAGGAGCATTCTGGGAGTGTGATGATCACGCTGGACTCTTCTCCCCGGCCCCCTGGCAAGGAAAAGCGTGTCACCGTCAAGAACTCAGCACAGTCTGAAATGCCAGCCCACCGACGTAACCGTGTCAGTGTGACTGTTTTGGCAGAAGCCTTCCCCGGGTGTTCCAGAAGGGGGCGGCAGACAGAGGATATCAGAGCCCATCGTGGTCAAGCTGAGTGAGAACGGGACCAGCCGAACAGCAGCTGTGACATGCTGGTGTGTTCAGGGCTTGGGGTCCAGCGCAGACGTGCCCTGCACTGCTCTCCTGGGGGCTGCAACATGTGAGAAACGAAGCCCTGCCTCAGTGCAGAACCCCCTGATTAATTATTTCTTCTGTGTTACTGTGTTTTCAGTCTTGCTTGAAAACACAAGGCATTGATCAGTGTGCTGACAGAGCACTCTTATGCAGCACATTGGGGGAGATTCTATAGATTCTCATTTGCATTTTCATGAGTATGTAAAACTTGTGCATTAATTAAGCAAGCCACCAGAATAAGTATCAATTCATATGCCCTAGTGCTCACTTCTTAAACTTGTCTTTGACAGCTTCTGCTCCAGACAGCGCCATCATTTGTTCCTTTGTTTTAAACACTTCGACAAGTGTCAGCATACTGTATGTGCATGCATGGACTCCGAGCCAGTGTTAAACATGCTTTCCTTAAAGAGCAGTGAAGAACTTCAAAGGCATGTAGCGACTGACCTTTTCTTGAGAGTAAGGGCACATCTGGATCAGACAAAATGGCAGTCCTGTCTGGATCACTTTACCCAGAACTCCCTGGGGAATAAGCTGCCTCTCCTCCCCGTCACCTGAGGAGGTGTAGGACAACAACTGGCCAGGTGACTGTTTAAAAACCAGGAAGCTGGGGCTTTCTGAGCCAGTTAGTTGGAGTGCTATCTGCTGCCTGGAGGACAAAAGACAGGACCTCTGTGTGATCCACTCAACAGAGGGAGAAGGGCTGACGGGAGACCTCGGGATTTTGTAAGTTTTAAGATGGGTCTCAGAGAGAAAAGTCTTCGTGAGACACTGAACTGTTTTGAAGCCAGTAAGCAGTTTAGCTACCTAGTATGATATAAGGGAAGAAGCGGTTAGTCAGCTCAAGTGGAGCTTTGGGTTTGTTTTGGTGTTTGCATGTCATGGCTGCTGCTATTTCCCTCACTGTAAAATAAAGAGCTCTGGTATTTTAACCTTGTGGCCATGTTTAGTGTGTCTGTTGTCCTAGACCTGCCTATGTTAAAATATCTCATATCTGTGTTAATATCTTGTCAGATAATATCTCATTATCAACAGGTTGTCACTCTGGCCAAACCAGTACCATCCGGAAGCACAGCACTTAGGGCCACAGCTGCTTAAAACAGTCTCCACGCAAAGAGAGACACAAAGTGTCTCACCTGACAGATAGGCAATCTGCTTCTCCAAGTACTCATTGACTTCCTTCAAGGCCATTGGGATCGTTGTCTCTATCACCACAGAAAGAGAAGAAGACGAGTTAGAAAT